CGGCCTGTGGAGGCTATACAGGGGGGGGATCTTTGTCTTTGTGCACTGCACACGCAGAGACGCAACTCTAAAACAAACACTGAACTCAGTGAGATACTAAGCAGATGCGACGAGTTACACACCACGCGCACTCTCCTGCCTCTCTCATCTCACTCCACTCCCCTCTCATCTCATCTCACTCCACTCCACTCCCCTCCACGCACTCTCCTGCCTCTCCCCTCTCATCTCACTCCACTCCCCTCCACGCTCTCTCCTGCCTCTCCCCTCTCATCTCACTCTACTCCCCTCCACGCACTCTCCTGCCTCTCCCCTCTCATCTCACTCCACTCCCCTCCACGCACTCTCCTGCCTCTCCCCTCTCATCTCACTCTACTCCCCTCCACGCACTCTCCTGCCTCTCCCCCCCCATCTCACTCCACTCCCCTCCACGCACTCTCCTGCCTCTCCCCTCTCATCTCACTCCACTCCCCTCCACGCTCTCTCCTACCACTCCCCTCTCATCTCACTCCACTCCCCTCCACGATCTCTCCTGCCTCTCCCCTCTCATCTCACTCCACTCCCCTCCACGCACTCTCCTACCTCGCCCCTCTCATCTCACTCCACTCCCCTCCACGATCTCTCCTGCCTCTCCCCTCTCATCTCACTCCACTCCCCTCCACGCACTCTCCTGCCTCTCCCCTCCCATCTCACTCCACTCCCCTCCACGCACTCTCCTGCCTCTCCCCTCTCATCTCACTCCACTCCCCTCCACGCTCTCTCCTACCACTCCCCTCTCATCTCACTCTACTCCCCTCCACGCACTCTCCTGCCTCTCCCCTCTCATCTCACTCCACTCCCCTCCACGCACTCTCCTGCCTCTCCCCTCTCATCTCACTCCACTCCCCTCCACGCTCTCTCCTACCACTCCCCTCCCATCTCACTCTACTCCCCTCCACGCACTCTCCTGCCTCTCCCCTCTCATCTCACTCTGCCCCCCTCCACGCACTCTCCTACCTCGCCCCTCTCATCTCACTCCACTCCCCTCCACGATCTCTCCTGCCTCTCCCCTCTCATCTCACTCCACTCCCCTCCACGCACTCTCCTGCCCCTCTCATCTCACTCTGCCCCCCTCCATGCACTCTCCTGCCCCTCTCATCTCACTCCCCTCCACGCACTCTCCTGCCTCTCACCTCTCATCTCACTCCACTCCCCTCCACGCTCTCTCCTGCCACCACCACCACCACGTGACTGTTCTTTCGTGTTGTGCGCGGTGCGTTTAGCGCCATAGCGCGTGGATTTGTAGCGCTTGTTCTTTTGTGTTGCTGGTGACTTTGTGTGTTTCGTATCGGAATCGCCTTCAGTGCTGTTGCTGCTGGCGGCAATAAAAGTTGTTTACAAGTCAAAGTCTCCTGTCTCTCCCCCTCTTTCCATCCCACCCTTCATCCTCCGTCCATCCTTCCCTCCCTCTCCTCCCTCCCTCTCCTCCCTCCTCCCTCCATCCTCCCTACCTCCCCATCCCTCCCTCCCACCCTCCCTCCGCTCCCTGTCTCTCCGTTGCCACGTGCACCGAACAACCCACCATTGTGCCCGAATAGAGCTTGTGTGTGTGTCTGTGTTTGTGTGTCTGTGTGTGTGTCTGTGTGTGTGTGTTTGCCGGTGACTGGTACCAGCGGTGTCAAGATCGGCCTCTGTAGAGGAGGCTCGTGAAGGACGCTGCTGGGCAGTTGGAGGCAGTCGCCCTCCAACAACAACGGAGGGCGGAGCGACGCTCACAACAACGAGCGGAGCGCCGGGTGGCTAAAGCACAGCAAGTTGGTACAGTAGGGGGCACAGGTGGTGCATCAGCCAGTCATCTCGGTCATCTCAGTCGACCCGTGGCACCTGCTGGGTCCTGCCAGCGAGCGTCACCGCCACTTAGTAGCGAATGGCGGTTGTTGTGTGTGTGTTTATATTTGTTGTAAACAAGATTTACTGCCCGGCTTCGCCCGGGGCTTGGATTCTTGTTCTGGACTAATAGACGGCCTACGCGGAGGGTGATGGGGGGGGGTGTGCGTGACGTCAGCAGGCACACTGCGTGACGTCACAGGCACACTGTTTAAAAGTCAAAAAGTCTCTCGCTCTCTCTATCCCCTTGGCACCCCCTACAGACCCCTGGCTGCCACTGCAGGTAAGTGACGGCAGGCGAACGGCAGGTCAGTGGGTACCGGCAGGGTGTGTGCGCACACGCGATCCGACGCTACAAATTCTCCAGCAGTGTCGTGGCCTCCAACAGACTGGCTGGGTTGGCCAGCAACCACGCTCGGCCGCCTTTGTCTCTCCCCAGTGGCGATGTTTACCGCACACCGCACCGGGGTACTCGTTTGAGGCCGAGTCGACCTAGGGGAGCGTCCAGGAGCTGGTGGTGTTGGCGGCGGTGAGCGGGAATCGAACTCGGGTGGACCGGGTTCGGAGCGCAGCGTTGGGCGATGAGCGCTGCGACAACGCTACCCACTGACACACACGCACGGACACGCTCACTCAGTCACTCACTCAGTCACTCACTCGCTCACTCATTCACTCACTCACTCACTCAGTCACTCACTCACTCACTCAGTCACTCACTCGCTCAATCACTCAGTCAGTCACTCACTCAGTCACTCACTCGCTCACTCATTCACTCAGTCACTCACTCACTCACTCAGTCACTCACTCGCTCAATCACTCAGTCAGTCACTCACTCAATCACTCAGTCACTCACTCGCTCACTCATTCACTCAGTCACTCACTCAATCACTCACTCACACACTCATTCATTCACTCACTCAGTCACTCACTCACTCACTCAATCACTCACTCAGTCACTCACTCACTCAGTCACTCACTCATTCACTCACTCACTCAGTCACTCACTCATTCACTCAATCACTCACTCACTCATTCACTCAATCACTCACTCAATCACTCACTCACTCACTCACTCACTCACTCACTCACTCACTCACTCAATCACTCACTCACTAAAGCACCCACTAACCCCCTCAATCACTCAATAACTCACTAAATCACTCACTCACTCACTAAATCACTCACTCACTAAATCACTCGCTTACTCACTCAGTCACACACTCATTCATTCACTCACTCAGTCACTCACTCAATCACTCACTCACTCATTCATTCACTCACTCACTCAGTCACTCACTCACTCAATCACTCACTCAATCACTCACTCACCCCCTCAATCACTCACTCACTCAGTCACTCACTCACCCCCTCAATCACTCACTCAATCAATCACTCACTAAATCACTCACTCACTCAATCACTCACCCAATCACTCACCCATTCACTCACTCACCCAGTCGCTCAATCACTCACTCACTAAATCACTCACTCACTCATTCACTCACTCACGCACCCACTCACCCCCTCAATCACTAAATCACTCACTCACTCACCCACTCACTCAATCATTCATTTACCCACTCACTCACCCACCCACTCACCCACCCACCCACTCACCCACTCACACAGGGCTCAAATGTTATTTAAAGTATTTTTAATAGTATAGAAATGTTGCATGTCTCTGTGATTCTTAATTAGGTTATCGTTAGCGTGTAATGCTAGATTAGTAACACTGCGTTCGTGTTCCTCTGCTGACCAGCTGGTTTAACTAAAACTAGCATAGAGATGTGTAGAGATACACAGAGACTCATAGAGATACATAGAGATACATAGAGACTCATAGAGATACACAGAGACTCATGGAGACACAGAGAGCCGCATAGACACTCATAGAGATGGAAGAGCTCAGCACTAGGGCTCGAACCCAGGATCTCAGTGTCTCCGACACGGCCATTGTGAACCCCCTGAGAGAGACACCCAGACCCAGCGCGCGAACCCAGGCTCTCAGTGTCTCCGACACGGCCATTGTGAACCCCCTGAGAGAGAGAGAGACACCCAGACCCACTGTTGAACCCAGGCTCTCAGTGTCTCCGACACGGCAATTGTGAACCCCCTGAGAGATAGAGAGAGACACCCAGACCCAGGGCTCGAACCCAGGCTCTCAGTGTCTCCGACACGGCCATTGTGAACCCCCTGAGAGAGAGACACCCAGACCCAGGGCTCGAACCCAGGCTCTCAGTGTCTCCGACACGGCCATTGTGAACCCCCTGAGAGAAAGACACCCAGACCCAGGGCGCGAACCCAGGCTCTCAGTGTCTCCGACACGGCCATTGTGAACCCCCTGAGACACCCAGACCCAGTGTTGAACCCAGGCTCTCAGCGTCTCCGACACGGCCATCGTGAACCCCCTGAGAGAGAGAGAGATACCTAGACCCAGGGCTCGAACCCAGGCGCTCAGTGTCTTCGACACGGCCATTGTGAACCCCCTGAGAGAGAGAGACACCCAGACCCAGGGCTCAAACATAGGGTCTCAGTGTCTCCGACACGGCCATTGTGAACCCCCTGAGAGAGACACCCAGACCCAGTGTTGAACCCAGGCTCTCAGCGTCTCCGACACGGCCATTGTGAACCCCCTGAGAGAGACACCCAGACCCAGTGTTGAACCCAGGCTATTAGTGTCTCCGACACGGCCATTGTGAACCCCCTGAGAGAGACACCCAGACCCAGTGTTGAACCCAGGCTCTCAGTGTCTCCGACACGGCCATTGTGAACCCCCTGAGAGAGACACCCAGACCCAGTGTTGAACCCAGGCTATTAGTGTCTCCGACACGGCCATTGTGAACCCCCTGAGAGAGACACCCAGACCCAGTGTTGAACCCAGGCTCTCAGTGTCTCCGACACGGCCATTGTGAACCCCCTGAGAGAGACACCCAGACCCAGTGTTGAACCCAGGCTATTAGTGTCTCCGACACGGCCATTGTGAACCCCCTGAGAGAGACACCCAGACCCAGTGTTGAACCCAGGCTCTCAGTGTCTCCGACACGGCCATCGTGAACCCCCTGAGAGAGACACCCAGACCCAGGTGTTGAACCCAGGCTCTCAGTGTCTCCGACACGGCCATTGTGAACCCCCTGAGA